TAAACCTATTGTACTATAGCTCATTCTAGCTCAAAACATAGACTCCACAAAGTCATTTATTAGACCTTAGTGCAATTACAAGTGAGAGTCTTGTTCTATTTTTAATTTGTATTTTTTATATTACTAGTTTATACCTAGTTGTACTTTAGTTCATTCCAGCACAACACATAGACAACATCAACTTCATTATGTGTAGTAGTGACTATACTCTACATGACCAAAATACTCTAGCTATATACTTGTCCAAACTTCCCACCACTACAGATATCAGTACTAGAACTCAACACACAACTCAGGATATAAATAACCATAATTTAAACCTAGAAGATGATTGATCACGTTGACCCTGATCTAAACCTCCATAATCTGACACCCAATCAAAACCTATTGGAAAGTAAACTGCCTTTATTACACAGCATCACAAGCCAGCACTATCCTAAACAATGCTAAAAGTCTATCAGTACTTAACTACAACATCAGGTCCTTAAGCAAACACTATGATGACCTCCTGGCACTCCTTGAATCACTAAAGACACCCTTCTCCTGCATTATTCTTACTGAGACCTGGCTTAAGCAGGACACAATAGATATCTACCCTCTACCAGGATACACAAAAATTCACAACTGCAAAACCAAAACAAGTTGGTGGTGGTATTGCAATCTATTACTCTAACCAATTATCTTGTATTAGTCACCACTTGCTTTAGTGATGAATATGGGGAATACTCATTTTTGCATTTTTTTACTGTAAAAACAAATAAACCTTTAGACACCTATAACCAACGTTGCCTTTACCGGATACCTCACACAAACATCCCAAATTTCATGTGGAGAAATTAAAGTCACTAATAACAAACATACAAATGAATAAGCACCCACCTTTCTCTTAGCTGGAGGACTTCAACATCAACCTTGGCTTACTAGATGATCAGCCTGTAAACTGATTCCATCAACAATGTGAAACAACACACTTCTCATACAACAATAACAAACAACCAGGCTCCACTGAGACAAGTGCAACCATAAACAGGACACATATGGACCAATATACTAGCCCCCTAAATAAGGGGTAATCACAGATAGCACTTCAGACCACTACCTACCTTCTCCTGACAACATTGTAAACCACCACTTGAACACAACAAAGGTCCATTTAGACTCCATGACGAGGCCTCACTAAGGAAGTTCACCAGAGCCAGCGCTGTTGACTGGCCTACTGAATTCTCCAAGGCCAATGGTATTGATGACTGGATAGACATTTTTCTTATCAAAAATTACTTTAAACTATACAACAAAACTTGTCCTATTAAACAAAACAGTTCACAAACAATCGGCTTGGTTGCCCATGCTAAGCAGCACCATTCTGAAATCCATTGAAAGAAAACACCAATATGAAAAAGCAATATAGACAGGGCTTAATACACAAAGATATTCTTAAACACTATTCATCAGTTTCACCAAAAGTAATAAATGCCAAACACTTATATTACTCCAGTGATCACAGGGCACTAGAGGAGATATAAAACAACCTGGAAAAACACTCTCTCAAGATTTAGGGGGACCAAAAACTAAAAAAAAAACAGAATATTGTCCTGACTAAACCTAATGAAACACCACTACATCCCACTGACACAGCTAACAAGATAAACGACTTCTTCTCAACCATAGGATGTAATCTCGCCAATAAAATCCACATACCAATGCCCATGCCGGGGACTACCTAGATGGGAATTTCCCAAATTCCTTCTATCTTGCACCAACTGAGCCTAACTCGGGGAATCTGTCTCATGTCCCACCATTACTGTACAAGCGAGCGGCCCATGTCCTTTCGCATGCTATTCATACTTTTAACAAGTCCTAGAAACTAGCACCTTCCCGAAACTATCAGATGGCAAGGGTTACACATACATTAAAGGTGGTGACCCTAAGACTTAAACAAAACATAGGCACAATATCAAATTACCATTGCTATCCAAAAATCTTTGAGAAACTTGTGCAAAGGAGACTATATTCATTTACAATGGCACAAAACATACTCAACCCCTGCCAATTTGGATTCAGGAAAAATAAAAGCATAATGTGCCAAATCATAAAAAGCTAGATCTGCTTTACACAGCATTGGGAAAATAAGGAATATCCCTAGGAATTTTTATTGACCTAAGAAAATCTTTTGGACCAGTAGACACGCACATCCTACTCCACAAAACTTGGACCATTACGGTATAAGAGGCCAATGAGACTTGCCTTATTTCAAATCTTCCTTACTTATAGGTATCAGTATGTCAACATTAAAGGGACCCACAAGCATCAACAAACACGGCCACTTGATACGGAGTTCTCGACAGGGAAGTGTCCTTGGTTCCCTGTCCTTCTCATATACATCAATGATCTTCAACGTATCCCAACCACCTGAAACCCATTCTCTTTGCTGACGACACGACTTATGTCATCTCTCACCCTAATCTTGCCACCCTCAACACCATTGTTAACGAGGAGCTGATCAAAATATCGACTTGGATGACAGCCAATAAACTTACGCTTAACACTGACAAAACCTACTAGATTATGTTTGGTACAGAGCAGGAGATGCACAAATTAACATTAAGATCGACAACACTCTAATTACCAGACATAATGAGGGCAAATTCCTAGGCCTGTACCTTGACAACAACCTGAATTTCAGCACCCATATCTAACACATAACCAAAAAAGTATCCAAAACGGTTGGGATCCTCTCCAAGATATGATACTACGTGCCGCAAAATGCCCTTCTCACACTATACTACTCACTTATTTATCCATACCTCACCTATGCTATTTGTGCTTGGGGATCAACTGCAGCAACACACCTAAAACCAATAATAACCCAACAAAAAGCTGCAGTAAGAATAATCATTAAATCCCATCCCTGGCAACACCCCCCCCCCACTCTTCAAAGATCTAAACTTACTCCCTGTTCAGTACATCCACACTTACTACTGTGCAATCTGCATCTACAGGACCTTAAACTCCAATATCAACCTTGACCTAAAACGCTTTCTTGATAGTTTTGACTGAACCCACAGGCATAACACCAGACACAAACATCTCTACGACATTCCCCGTGTCCGACTGAACCTTTACAAAAATTCAATGTATGTCAAAGGCCCTAAAATCTGGAACACCCTACCTGAGAACTCTAGAACTGCAGACACATTCATCACCTTCAAAACTACCATTAGAAAACATCTTATCTCCCTGATACACCCATTCATCTAACTACACGAATACCACCTGGTGGTTCACACTTACACTCACTCACCCATTTGACCATAAACAGAAATATTAATCTCAATCTTAAAATAATGAATCCTGTGATACTCCAATACTGAAACTATGTACTGTGCCAAAACAAAAGCATTCACATTGCTAAACTCACAAACTAGTATTTAGTCACTTAGCCATAATACCAACTTACCTCATAATTTGTAATATTTTAAAATTAAGAATTAAACTAAGTCTGCCCGAAATGCCTAGCCATGCTAGGTGTTCTAGTGGTACACTCTGTAATCATTATTTAACTACATGTAAACTACACAATAACCAAATTCTGTAAACTCAGCATTGTAATCCTTATAGAGAATAAACTTTGAATTTGAACTTGAATATAAGAGTGTTGGCACCACTATACTCTCGTACATTCCCTTCTTTGTCTCCATGGACAACGTTTTTTGTCTCCACAGATACCTCAAAGCACCACTCACCTTTTTTCATTCATCAATTCTATCGCCGGGTCACCATCTGGAGAAGACCCGGGCCGGAAGTACCGGCAAATCTCTAATGAATGAATGAATCAATTCTATGATAAACCTCATCCTTCATAAACCTATCTGCTGACAAGTCAGCTCCAAATATCTGAACACATTCACTTCTTCCATACTTCCTCCAATGTGTTATCCAATTTTTCTTTATCTAAATCGCTTGATACCCTCATCACCTTACTCGTATTTATGTTCACCTTATATCTCACCATAACTTCCTCCTCCCTTAGTTTATAAGCTTTCATCTCTCTCTTACTTGCTCTTGCCACTTTCCGTTTTCCCCATTTACCCCTTACTCCTCTAACTGATTCAGTCATTTGATTTTATGCATAACACAACCCACACACACCTTTATTAATATAAGTCAATCTGGTTGGGCCACTTACCTTTGTTAGCACCTCTCTTCGTAGCTACCACTCCCTCCTACATATTCCATTCTTACCTATCATTCTTTCTCCCCCAATTTACCAAAACTCTAGTTATACTATTCAACCATCAGTGAGCTAAATGGCAGCCACAGGATCGAAGTGGTGCCCACTCACAGATGGTCACTTGTCCCTAGCTGAACACATTACTCTACCAGCCAGGCGATGCTAAACCAGCCGATTGATTCAATGGGGCCAGCGCTGAACCTCCTGCTTGATCTCTAACTTCCTACCGAAGTGTGAGGCCTACCTGGAGACTGCGGACTACTGGTCTGCTCAATTTTCAGTCAAGGAGAAGTAAGGAATTTAGTACTGGTAGCAGTGTACGGCAAACACACAGGACAACATTTAATTAGGCTACTACATACCATGGACATCCTGAGGAAGTCGAAGCTCACCCAGTACGGGCATGGTAACAAAAGAAGTAATTCCCCTAGTACGTAAAGGCCCTGCCATCAGGATGATTGGGGCAATTACAGATTTGATTCAAAGTTGTTTAAACATCTGTGAATTCAGTCACATGTACATTATAATGAATCATACTCCAATGTTACCGACAGACTGGTGAATAATAACTAGCAAGAATGCTCTGTTACTCTATTGATTGTGTTAGTTGCTCTGCTAATGAGTTATTTACAGTAAGCAAATTTATGGTATTTTTCAGTGTGACTTAAATATTTGGACCTTTTTTGAATATAAAAGCAAGTTGTCTCTAAATTCTTATTTTATTCATTCTTAACACTAAATGTTGCAGGTTGCTCTCAATGGATGTTGAATCATCATCAAGGGAGCAGCTTTGAAATATTCATGTCTGAGGAAGGAGTGTCACCAGGAGTGGAACAGCAGTATCAGTGCATCATCTGCTAAGACTTACTTGCCACTGGATGTACATGATGGAGTTGTCATGACAGTAATTCACGACATTACTGGAGCCATTCTCTTAAGAAAAACTTTCAACACATGGAATGCCTACACATATGCACATGACCTGGCATGGTGGGTTCAGAAGGTGAGGGCAGGACGGGTGGTAGTGATGGCAGTGAGACGAGCGGGGACATACGGGCTAGGGGCAGCTCTACCAACTCTCATTGGTCTTGGCTCCCTCCTCGCCCCTCATGCCCCTGCTTATGCGCTCTGGGTATGGGTGTTTGTAGTGGGTGGACGGACACTGATTGAAACTGTGGTGGCAAACCCACATCCTCTTCATAAGTCAACGGTGACTTTATGTTCTAACGTCTTAATGCCACTTCCCCGAAACACAACCTTATTTTTTAACACAAAAGTGCACAATTTGCAGTTACGCCTTTGTGACAGTAATGCAGCAATGGGTCCCCTGTGTGATCCCATTTGGCCAAAGGTTATGTCTCCTGTACTGTCAGTAGCAGATGAGAACAGCAGAAGGCACACTGAATCAGAAGTGGGAGTGGTAGTGTGTGCAGGGACACGCCTTCAGTATTTAACACACACTCTCTCTCACTTGTTGAAGGTTAGGAAAGTATCGCCATTTAAGGTTTTAGTGGTTCTTGGTACTGATCATAATGGTACACTTGATTCTAACATACAGTCTTTATTGCAGCTATTTGGTTTACAATATAAAATTATAAATAGTCTCCCAGATGTACTTTCTACCAACCATCGCCTCTTTCAGTTTTACCGTGCTGCTTGGAAAGCTGGGGTAGAAACTTTTCCCAATGCAAAATATTTAGCCTTCCTTGATGAAGATGTGGAGGTGTCCCCTGACTGGCTGGAGATGCTGTTACATTATGCTCCAGCTCTGGAGCTAGATGCTTCCCTCTGGTGTGTGTCTGGTATTAGTGCAGCTCATGTCAATATGTATTCAGACCCCCGTTTAATGATGCGAGGATCCAGGCAGCCTGGTTGGGGATTTTTGGTTTTGATTGATGAGGCCAGAGCAGCGATTGCAATATGGCCAGATAAGTCTTCAATATCTCTGTTGTATGATACCTTCCTTTATAAAATAGTAGGCCGGGGACGAGAATGCATATATCCAGTCGTGAGTCGTTCACGGCACTATGGTGTGGGTGTGAATACCCTGCCATACGTGCATCACTTATACTTCTTGGAGCGGCCGCTACATGATGGATCACTGGTGAAGCTTCCTCCTATGTCCTCCCTTACTAGAGAAATATATGAGTCTCAGATTTGGTCTCGTCTGTCTCGAGCATCTCCTATCACCAGGAACCCATGTGCTTCAGGTTTCATTAAACCTCCTGAAATTAATGAACCAATGGACTTAGTATTTTATTTTTATTTGGATAATCCTGAAAACTCACTGGAATGGACATTATTGGCAGAATGTGTAGGTGCATGGCCGTACTCCACTCAGGGAATGCACAGTGGCAGTGTAGAGCTACCACAGCCATGGGGAGGATCACTTTGGCTTATAGGAGTCCCTGCTTCTCCCTACAAATTCTTCAAACCTTTCCACATTCCTGTTTGGTACCCTTCCACAGACAAAGCTTATGATGAACAGTCTTCATTTGTATCATTTGTTAGGTCAATGAAAGTCATATCTAACAGAACTTTACATGTGGCTGCTAATCAGTTATTTTTACAAAAATATTAGAAATAGTTTTACTGTTACCTTGTTTCTTTTATACAAATTTATCCACTACACTTTCTTAATGAAAACCATTTTCTGTGACTGTACTTTGCATTACTTTTATTCTAAAGCTTGCAGAAGCCCATCACCTAAGCATGCAGTTGTACTGGACATTACTAGAATATCAAACAAAAAAAATCTAGAATGGAAAGGAATTGCATAAATGAATTAAGTTGTGTATACCTGAGTAAGAGATAAAAATGTGGCTGTGATGTAAAATACATAAACATTTGTGGAGAGTAAAAGATTGTAAATGTTTAAATTCAAGAATTGCAAAGGTCTGAATAAAAATGGGATGTGTGTTAGTTAGTTAGTTTAATATGTTTATTATGCACCCCATACCCATTTTGTGGGTGGTAGTCAAAAGATTACAGAGGTACATAATGGGTCCAGGGACTGGACTCCAAAGTTCTGATAGCTGAACAAAGTGCAAAGGTAATGAACTCACAAGTTACAAAGGTAATGAATCATGTAAGTAAATTTACTTACATACGTTTATACATAAGATAAGATAAGATAAGATTTCGTTCGGATTTTTAACCCCGGAGGGTTAGCCACCCAGGATAACCCAAGAAAGTCAGTGCGTCATCGAGGACTGTCTAACTTATTTCCATTGTGGTCCTTAATCTTGTCCCCCAGGATGCGACCCACACCAGTCGACTAACACCCAGGTACCTATTTGCTGCTAGGTGAACAGGACAATAGGTGTAAGGAAACGTGTCGAAATGTTTCCACCCACCGGGAATCGAACCCGGGCCCTCCGTGTGTGAAGCGGGAGCTTTAGCCACCAGGCCACCGGGCCTGGCTACAATTATGAACAAATTATAGAGTAATGAGCAATTTACACGTCTACACCCGGTCACAACTATGAGTTATTGGTGCAGATATTAATTGTTGGGTCACACGCACACACACACACACACACATGAAGCTGCTAAGTGACCTTGATACCTCAAAGGCGATGGGACTGGACAACATCTCCCCATGGGTCCTTAGAGAAGGAGCAGAGATGCTGTGCGTGCCCCTAACCACAATCTTCAACACATCCCTTGAAACTGGGCAACTACCTGAGAAATGGAAGACAGCAAATGTAGTCCCCATATTTAAGAAAGGAAACAGAAATGAGGCACTAAACTACAGACCTGTGTCTCTGACATGTATTGTGTGCAAAGTCATGGAGAAGATTATCATGAGGAGAGTGGTGGAACACCTGGAATGGAACAAGATTATAAATGAAAACCAGCATGGGTTCATGGAAGGAAAATCCTGTGTCACAAACCTTCTGGAGTTTTATGACAAGGTAACAGAAGTAAGACACGAGAGAGATGGGTGGGTTGATTGCGTTTTCCTAGACTGCAGGAAGGCCTCTGACACAGTTCCCCATAAGAGATTAGTGCAGAAGCTGGAGGATCAGGCGCATATAACAGGGAGGGCACTGTAATGGATCAGGGAATACCTGACAGAGAGGCAACAACGAGTCATGGTACGTGAAGAGGTATCAGTGGGCGCCTGTGACGAGCGGGGTCCCACAGGGGTCAGTTCTAAGACCAGTGCTATTTTTGATATATGTGAACGACATGATGGAAGGAATAGACTCTGAAGTGTTCCTATTCGCAGATGATGTGAAGTTGATGAGAAGAATTAAATCAGATGAGGATGAGGCAGGACTGCAAAGAGACCTGGACAGGCTGGACATGTGGTCCAGAAACTGGCTTCTCGAATTCAACCCTGCCAAATGCAAAGTCATGAAGACTGGGGAGGGGCAAAGAAGACCATAGACAGAGTATAGGCTAGGTGGACAAAGACTACAGACCTCACTCAGGGAGAAAGACCTTGGGGTGACCATAACACCGAGCACGTCATCGGAGGCACACATCAACCAAATAACTGCTGCAGCATACAGGCGCCTGGTAGTTAGTAGTTTAATATGTTTATTATGCACCCCATACCCATCCTGTGGGCGGTAGTCAAAAGATTACAGAGGTACATAATTGGTCCAGGGACTGGACTCCAAAGTTTTGATAGCTGAGCAAGTTACAGAGGTAATGAATTCACAATTTACAAAGGTAATGAACTCACAAATTACAAAGGTAATGAACTCCGGGTAGGTCTAGTCACAATCATGACAAGTTACAAAGGTATTTACAGATTACAGAGGTACGTAATGGATCCAGGGACTGGGCCCCAAAGTTTGGATGGCTGAACTAGGTACAAGGTAATGAACTCACAAGTTACAAAGGTAATGAACTCACAAGTTACAAATGTAATGAATACTGTAAGAATGGTTACTTACGTTTATACATGGCAACAATCATGAACAAATTATAGTGTAATGAGCAATTCACACTTCCACACCCGGTCACAACTGTAATGAGTTATTGGTGCAAATATTGATTGTTGAGTCACACACACACACACACACACACACACACACACACACACACACACACACACACACACACACACACACACACACACACAAAACACACACACACATAAACACACACACACACACACACACACACACATACACAAACTCATACACACACACGCACACACACTCATACCGGTGAAGAGCAACCGGTGAAGAGGCGGGGCCAGGAGCTAAGACTCGACCGCTGCAACCACAAATAGGTGAGTACAATAGGTGAGTACACACACACCCACTCATACACACACACACACTCATACACATACACACGCACACACAAACACACACACAAACACACACACACACACACACACACACACACACACACACACACACACACACACACACACACACACACACACACACACAAGCACTGGACAAGCACCTAAAGTCAGTTCCCGATCAGCCGGGCTGTGGCTCGTACGTTGGTTTGCGTGCAGCCAGCAGCAACAGCCTGGTTGATCAGGCTCTGATCCACCAGGAGGCCTGGTCACAGACCGGGCTGCGGGGGCGTTGACCCCCGGAACTCTCTCCAGGTAAACACACAGGAGCTTGGACTCGACCCCTGCAATCTCAACTAGGTGAATGCACACACACACACACACACACACACACACACACACACACGCCTGGCAAACCTGAGAATAGCGCTCCGATACCTTAATAAGGAATCGTTCAAGACACTGTACACTGTGTATGTTAGGCCCATACTGGAGTATGCAGCACCAGTCTGGAACCCACACCTGGTCAAGCACGTCAAGAAGTTAGAGAAAGTATAAAGGTTTGCAACAAGGCTAGTCCCAGAGCTCAGGGGAATGTCGTGCGAGGAAAGGGTGAGAGAAATCGGACTGACGACACTGGAGAACAGAAGGGTCAGGGGAGACATGATAACGACACTTGAGGAAGCTTTCCTTGAAGGTGGAGCTGAGACACAGCCATAGTGTAAAGCCCTCATGCTCCTTAAGATAACGGATCTCTCGTTCATTACGATACACCTGGTAATGGCGTGAAAAGGAAGGATGTGGTTCCTTACAATTGAGACAAGAGGGGAGAAGACTACAAGACTTATTGGAATGATCCGCTACACCACAGACCGGGCATTCCACAACAGATCTGCAGTGTTTAGCGAGGTGCCCAAAACACCAGGAATTACGACACTGTTGGGGAGTGAGAACTACTTGACGGACATCTAAGCTATGGCCTGCAATATAGACAGGGGACGGAAGTTCACGGCAGTCGAAGGTTAAATGAGCGATGTTACTAGGAAAGCGCCTCTGCCCACGATTGGGCAGGATGTATGTATCTACCTGAAGAATAGGAAGGTTCTGAAGTGCTAATTATTCTAAAACATCCTCGCCACAAGACAGAAAATCACTCTGTACAACGGTATGCGGTAAGACCAGAGTACTACTGGTGTGTTATCTTTGGAAGTGATGTGGGAAAGAGCATGAGCTTGCTCTGAATTCTGTACTGTTACGACTTGTGCACTACCTCGACGAGCATGGTAGGATATATTTTGGCCAACATGCCATAAGAGTGTTTTACCAATTCCATGATCAGAAAGATAATCGGTTTGAGATGTCGTCTGTAAATTATTATTATAATAAAAAGAAGCACTAAGCCACAAGGGCTATACAGCGTTGCAGGGTAGGGAAGGAAGCGAGGGTATTGGGCGGCAGAAGGGGAGAGGGATGATCAGTAGGTTACAGAAAACAATGGGGCAGGGGATAGTGTGGGGATAGAGGGCAGCAAGAGATTGAGGTAGAAAGGGCTGAAGGTATCATCAGAGTTTGTGAAGGCAGTTGTCAAAAAGCCAATGAGAGAGTCCGGATGAAAGGTGGGTCCATCAGCGAGAAGGGAAGGTAAAGAGAGAGCAGCGGAGCGAAGACGATGTTGGAGGTATATTCTGCGTGCTCGTTGATAAAGTGGGCAGTCTAATAGAATGTGGCTGACCGATAATGGAACCTGACAATTTTCATAGAGAGGAGCAGGGCGCCTCTCCACGAGATATCCATGAGTAAGACGAGTATGGCCAATGCGAAGACGGGAGAGAGTAGTCTCCCAACCTTGACACTGGTGACAAGAAGACGGCCAGTAACCTATACTCGGTTTAATAGATTGAAGTTTGTTACCGAGCACAGTAAACCAACGTTTTTGCCAACGGGTGTGAAGGTGGGTAGCTATTGCAGCAAAATAGTCTGTAAATGGAACACCTCTATATGAAACCGGTAGGTCATGTACTGCTGACCGCGCAGCAGTGTCTGCCTGTTCATTGTCCTGTACGTCAGCATGACCAGGGACCCAACAAAAAACAATATCTTTATGGTTGGTAGAGATGCGGCGTAGCCAAAGTTGGATATGGAGGACTAAGGGGTGAGGTGTATCAAATTTCTGTATAGCCTGTAAAGCACTAAGGGAGTCTGAGACAACCACAAATGATGGCACAGGCATAGATGCAATATGGATAAGTGCTGCAGGAATGGCATACAATTCAGCAGTAAAAATACTAGCCGAAGATAGTAAATGCCCTCGTATGACGCTGTCCGGAAACACTGCTGCGAATCCTAAGCCGTCAGAAGATTAGAGCCCTCTGTGTACACTGCAATGGCATAAGAATGAGAGTGGAAGTGGTCAAGAAAAAGAGAGCGGGAAGCTACCGTAGACAATTGGGCTTTCAAGCAAGGGAGTGAGAAAGAACAGACTCAAACAGCTGGAACTTCCCAGGGGGGTAGGGAAAAGTGAGATGCTACATGAACATAGAAAGGTGGTAATTGAAGAGAAGACAAGAGCGAATGTAG